TTGTGAATAGTTGCAAGCTTGTGCTGTCCACACGCTAAGCTTTCAGGATGTGATCCAAATGTAGAGCTCAATAGTAGGATTTGCTAGCTGAGGCTGACCACTCCATGAACTTAACTCAATGGCTTTTGCTAATTTCAGAAGGTGGGTAGTGTACACAAGTATACTGTAAGTGAACAATGCATTAATTCTCATTTACACTGACACTGCCTTACATCACTCAGGAGAGGCGTGAAGCAGTCTTAATGTAAATAAATTTGGGACATACTGGCATAGATATACATTACAATGCTGAATGTAAGGCACTAAAGAACTGAGTGAAACAGTCAGAAGCTCCAGTATTTACAGAGAAGACAATGGAACAGATTCTCCACTGGTATAAATCAGTATCACTGTTGACAATTTACAAGAAGTGCAGGGTCTGCTCTCCTATTGTTCTGTGTGTGCTTTGGAAATAAGAGAAGCACTGTGTGCATATGGATTTTCTTTTATCTTGGCCTTTCCTGCTGTTTCACAATTATTAGCTATTTAGGTGTTACAGCACCTCATCAGAAATTTAAGGGACTTGTAAGAATTACTGCAGCTATTAGAATGCAGCAACAGCTCAAATGGAGTCTGCTGTGTGTTAATGCACATACACACAACAGAGTATTTTGGGGGACTGGAAAGATAAAAAAAGTGTACTATTCCCACTGAAACAGCAGTGAGGACAGTAACATTTAATCAATTGAAATCTGATGAGAATGCAGGTGTTAACGCTTGTGCTCCTGCAGAGATTGCCGTAGGACCCTTAATACCTTCAGGCTGTCGGAGCTTCCACTTCAGTAGCTGTTCAGGAAGCCCCCCGGTGCCACAGTGCCCTCTAAAGCTAGGTAAGGGCATAGGTTCCGCCTTTAATCCAGGTGAAGCAAGCTTCCGCCTCTCACCACTAACTTCAGTGGATATTTGAATTACTCATGTTGAATTTTTAGTAAAATTAAGGTTTACGTCTGAAAATTAAGGTTTATATTAAAAACGTAGGTTTATTTTCTGCCAAATTCCTCCATCCCTTATCATGTAACACCTCAGGATCCAAATACTCATCAGCCTCATCTGAGATTTGTGATGGGATCACAACTCACGATGGCATGGCTGAAAATAATGCTAAATGTTCATTTAGAAGAATTATACTGGGGTTTTTTTAATCCACAGTTTTAGTTTGTGATGTTCAGAATACAGTTTAGCTGTATTTACTGTAGTTTTGAAGTTACTACCTCCTGCGCTTTCTATTTTATGCTGAAATGGATCGTTGTTCTATTACTTTTTCTGCTACAGAAAATATTTACTCAGAATGCTTTTAAGTGACAGTGTGCATAAAATTGCACTTGCTTTTCACCTGGGAGGCTGTAGCTCGTATTCAGTTTGACACTGGTGCAACAAGTTAGGCAGTGCTCAGCTGATATTCACCTTGCAACACCTCAGCAGGGTCTGGCCTCATGCCCAAAGAGGAGCTTTCATAGGCCTACCAGGGGCTTGTTCAGATGCAGACTGAAATGCTTTTATGAAAATATAGGAAATAGCATTTAGAAAGCCTGTGCTCTCAGTGGCTTTCAGAGCAATGCTGCATTGGTTTAATTTATATTTACAGCTGGCTGTAAGCCTCTGGAAAAGGCTAAATTCTTTATGTATAGCGTCTGCAGCAGGAGATGTTCTGTCATTAGCTTTATTGATATAAAGACTATCCATTAAGATAAGAAAATGGAATAAGCCATTTTATGAAACAGTGGCTAACAATTTCCATGAACAGAGAAGAATGTATGTAGTTAAATTGCTTAATAGATACATAGTTATTTTACTAGCAGCTTAGAGTTTTTGTTCACCATGATCATAACATAATGTTCGGCCTTAGAGAGATAGAGAATCAAGCTGCTATAAACAGACTGCAACTTCTTTGCACCTCGGGGAACGGGGCAGAGGGAGATTAGCAGGAATTGTTGAGACTGAAGCACCCCGATAACACCACCCGCTGCACTGAATACAGTTCTTTAGTAGGGGGACAGCCGCGTGTGTGCAGCCTTCTGCACATCTTTCAGGCTGGAGTTGTGCCAGCTTACCTGAGCAAGGATTTGGCTTCATATGTGCAGAAGTGCATGTCATTCCTTTAGTAAAACACCTCCCACTGCATTTGTTTGTGTACAAAGCAGATGTGAGGTAGTTAACTGTAGAATTGGATTGTCTGGGACAAAAACATCCTTAGTATGATTCCTTTGAATTTAGTGAAGATGACCCAGTATACTTAAACAAGGTATATTTAAACAGAATGTTAAAAAAAAAAAATAAAATGGTAAGTATCTAGCTTGTCTTTACCCTGATGGAAAGGTTTCTGGCATTATTATGATAGCTTCTTAAGGGTTTCCAAGCACCTAAATTATAATTAAGATGAATTTATTATTTCCTTTTATTTTTGTGAGTCATTTCTTACTCAAAGAAAGGCACCAAGAATCCTGAATCTTAGCAGTAAAAGTTCAATTACTCAATACTTTAATGGCCTTGTATTACAATTAACTGATGACCTTGAGTCCCTAAAGGATTTAAAGAGTAATTTAATAAGCACATAGTTACACCAAGTACTAAAAATATGCTTGCAACCAGTTTTCTGGTAGTAGGTTTTCATGTACTGCACTACTGGGTCACTACTTTGTGCATGTCATTGGCCCTTATCTGTAATAATATATTCCTGTAGAGAAAACATTAAGTATTCCATGGTACATTAATACTGCTCAGGAAACTCTTTTAATTTTCACGCTGATAAAGATGTTAACTTAGAAAAATAAGACAAATCCTTTTGTGTGAATGGCAGTTGAAAATCTATGTTGTGACTACAGTTGGCTGAAGCTCAATTGCTTTAATAACTGTATTCCAAATTTCATCTCGATTATATTTGCATTTTAATGAACAATTCTCACCTAATTGTCAAATAGGCAGCCCAGCTAAATTTATTAAGTTATTGTATAAACAGGGTATCATGATGCCAGAATTTAAATGGAGAAATATTTGGTGTCCTATTCCGGCAATATACTGTAAATCTACAGTGTAGAAAAGTATGTTGGTCATCTCTGTATTTCAAGTTTGGATTTATTTTACTGTTTTCCTGTCAAGAGTCCATAAAGCTTTAGGGTAATTCATAAATATCCCAGAAATAATTCTATAAAATTATGAGAGGATTTTTTTGTTTAAATCAGGTAGTTATTACAGCTTTTCTATATGCAGCTCTTCTGTTAATTCTGTTTTATTTATTTTTCTGTACTTGGAGACTGTAGAGCTACTTTTTGTAATACCTGGGACTTCAAGGAAGTCATAGACTAAAAATGTTCGTTCACAAGTGTGCTAACGTTTCCTATTCCTATCGGTACATAAGAGTGATCATTGATTTTGGTAAACACATGTTAATGTCTTCTGTATTAGATGAACCTTAAAAAATGTACTGATTGTATTTGCCATTTATGCATCTTTCTCCAGTAATACTGATTATGGCTGTTAGTGTAAAAGAACTTTCTAGTTTCTAAGTATCTTTCTCTACCACTTGTCTCTGATTCACGTAGTAACCTCATTGTTCACTGTTTGTGGCATTATAATACACAGCTACAGCAGGGAGTTTGATCTTTAAGGAGTACTTACATTAGTGCATGCAGAAATGTAGAAAAAGCACTATGAAGGGGAAAAATATTTTTACATACAAATATCTTCATAGTTGGCAGAAAGGAGAGAGAATACTAGAAAAGGACATAAAGCAAGAATTCGAGGCAATTAAAAGTTTTCTAGTATTCCAAGAGAGGTCTGTTATGCAAAATACTAGGTTCTTATGAAAAACATTAAGCCAGTCTTCAGACACGACTGAAATCCTTATTATGTTTTTGTAAAGTGCTACATTTCTTATTAGGGACATCTTATTTTCTTATCCTTTTTTCTTTTTCCAAAGTTAGTGTAGAAATATCTAGCAGACAGATTATTATCTACCTGAACTGAAAGTGTTTTCAGGCTTGTATTTATAGTTGCTGGACTTAAAATATAATGTCAACAAAACCAAAAACCCAATCCCAAAGCCATTAAATTGTGCAAGTGTTTTTTCATCAGGGGAAGCAAGCAGGGAGTAAACTGCTTCCCTTGAGGAGGAGTGAATTCGGTGCCTGAAGTTAGCACCCTATATGACCTTCAGGTGCTTTTAATACATGTCTGGTAAGAAAAGAGAGTTATTACTTCCCAGTAAAACAAATGAGGCCTTGCTTTCAAGCCTAGATTGTGTTCGAAAGAATCAATACAGCCTGATGATGACACTTGATTCAAAAGTTAGCAACACATTAAGTTAAAGGGGTATGTCCTGTGCCTGTGTAGTGTGCTCATCTGGCTTGGATCAGCTGCTACATTCTTGCTAATGTTTTAATCAAAGGCTGTAGAGCAATTGTGTGCCGTATCCGTTTCACCGCCTTAGCATCCTGCAGGGAGTGCATTATGGTTTCTTCTTTATTTTCTTCTCTTGCAGTAATACCCTACATGTTGTCTTCAGCTCACTCACAGGCTTCACCGGCAGCTTCCCTGTTACTTACAATGCAGCCTTCTGACAGCAAGTGGAATTTAGCAGCTAACAGGTAGCTTCAGGGCAGTGCCTGTCAGGCTGTGACAACTGAGTAAAGACAGTGAGTGGCCCAGTGGTGAACTGGCTGCTATAAATTAGAATTAGGCAGGGAGTTTTTAAATCAAGGAGTGGACAAAGTGTTGCGAAGTTCAAGACATCCAAGGGTTAAGCTGTGGGGTGCTGGAAGAGATAAGGGAAAGATCTCCCAGTTCATATTGGGGAAATGTTGTCCTTCAGTATCATATTGCAGAAGGAAATACCAATGCTGAACTCTTGAATACAGAAGAATGTGAAATCTATGTTAAAAAATAAGTTGGTGGGCAACAGAGAAATTAATCGATTTGATAATGTGTCTGTAGTATACTGATCAACTTGTGATGATTTTTGGCAGGCATCATATCAATTCTGTGAAGCAAGGTGGAGAATACTTTGATATACTTCACCAAGAATCACTGGAGAGGAAGAACACACTAAAAACAGAGCAGCAGGCTCAGGGCACAGGATGGAGATCTGAGTTCCAGCCACCCAAATACTGCTCTGATGCAAAGGACTCAGAGGAAAAAATAAACATGTAAGTCAACTGAGGGGGCTTTAGGTGGTCTGAGGGCAGTGGTTTTAAAAAGTGACAATTTCCAGTTTCTGTCATTACTTGGTATTGAGGCAGAATATTACTACTTGTGTGAACTAGAAAGAGAAAATGCTTAAAATCTGGGTAAGTGAGCAGCTGTAAACTTAGCAAGCATGGAAAAAGATAATGCTTGAGGTGCTGTTTAGAAAGGAGGAAGTTTGGAAGGCAGAAGGTTAGTGAACTCGGGAGAGATTTTGTAGCCAACTCATAACTGATTCTCTGAGGTGAAAAGGAGGCCTGGTGAGTTTGTGCCATGCTTTTGTTCCCGCAATGGGACCAGAGCATAAAGAATGAAAAAGAATTGCATTCAGCAGAAGTGGCTTCACTTGCAGACTGGGTTTATTTGCTAGTTCAGGCCTATTACTTACTAATTCTTCAGGTTTTCTCTCCTTTTGATCATCAGATAGTCTGCAGTCCTTTGGCTCATGCTGAACTCTTTAATGCGCCTCTAATACCTGTTGTAACACTGTAGTTATCTTCCGTTTGTCAACCCTCCTCACTAGGTGATGAGATGATTAAATATGCTCAGCAGGACAGAATATCTCTTCTAGAGGTTACACACATCTGGGAGTATTACTGAAAGGTAGTGTTATGGAAGGAGAAAAGGTATAGGGTATTAGTCAAAGTGTTTTGGAATCCTGGCCTCTGTCTGCATCATCTAAAACTTTCTCCTTACCTTAAACAGGTTACCCAGAACTGTATTATTTAAATGTCACTATGAAGCACTTTGATTCTAGGTTAATGAAGGCCACATGAACATTTTCGGTAAACAAGATTATTTAATTAAAAAAAAAAAATACATAAGAACCTCCCTGAAAGCTTTTTGTAAACTCCATGCTTATTATTCTTTTTCATATGTAACTGTTGTATCTACCCATAACTCAGCTAATCCACATTTATTGCAGACAAATAATTTATTACACATATGAAAAATACCATTGCCTTTATTATTGTGACCGTTCAGATTATTGAAGTCATTTATCTTGTTCTACAAGGAAAGGCTTCTTCTTCAGCAAGGCTGACCTAAAAAGATTTACTATTCCTTTTTCCTTTATGAAGGTATACCTGCATAGGTGAAATTGTCTGCATTTAGGTACAGCTTCTCCTAGCAGTAAAAAAGCTTTTACTGGTGCAGAGTATACCATGCTTGTGGGTAAATACTGACAAAGCCGCTTTAATCCTACATATGCCCCAGGATTTTTGCCAGTTGTAAAAATTTATTAGAAAATCTTACAACGAACTTAAAAATCTACACTAACAAAGTTCCTAGTGTAAACCTGATATCCTCTAATATTTTTCAATGTGTTGCTTAAAACTAATATTAATTGAGAGTTTAACTTCATTTTTAGTGGAAAAAGCTGTAACATCTGCCAACATTTCTAAGAGGGAAATCATTAGACTTAGGATCAGATGCCAACATTAGGGAGTCTTATGGAGAATTTTCTCAATCCAGGATGTCTTGGGTGGAACAGGAATGCACACTGAAACACGTGTGAAACAAGAGATGCGAGGCTTTGACAGGTGTGCTTTACTCATTCAGACTCCCCCATGTGACTGACTTACATGCAGGAACCGTACCAGTACGTGTTAGTTCCCGTTGTGTGCTGTTATGCATATGCTTGTCTGCAGTGGTAAGCAGTTTAAAAGGGGAGGAAAAAAAAAGCCTAGATACAAAATACAGATCATTATCTGTTGTAGAGATTTACTTCACTCCTTGCTTTCACAGTGCTGACTTCAAAAACTAGGAACGTCATGGAATAAGAAGGGCTCTGAAGCAGTGCTAAACTCCTGGGGCACCAAGTGTCTTTTTAACAGACGATGTCTGGCGTCAGTCTTTCAGAACGGCTGAAACTGTTGGCATGGATTTATGTGCGCAGATTCCAGTGATAGATGCAGGCCTTTCCCACTCCCCTTCCTCTTTTTCCTTGTAAGACAACAGCAAATACTAAGCCTCTACTGGGACTTTTTTACTGCTGTTACACAAGTTGTAGCATTCAATTGTGTTATCAACTATTTCAAATGTATCAACACTCTAAACTTCGTAACAGCGTCTTCATATCAGTTTTGTTGGATCTGTCTTCATTTCACATACTCCTTTTTTAACTTCAGTCTTTGTCCTTTCCTACAGCTGCTCTCTAACAGAAGGCAACCACCTGAGGAAGCCAGAGAAGAAGGAAAAAAAGATGACCTTACGGTCTTTCGCTCCTGTTTATACCAGTGTCTTGATTCCAAGCCCCCCTGGAGCAAAAAGGTATATTTGAAGGCAGATTTATGTCCTGCCCTCCTTGATAGAACATAACCAAAATTCACAGCAACACTATACCTAGAGCTGCTGTTCAGCTGGTGAACACGTATCCTGAGAGTTTCAGGAGTTTATGGTGAAATAGTCTGTCTTTACTAATAGCAACTCCTAAATTCTAACTTTAAGTGATTGAATCCTAATGAGTAACTGAAAGCCTCGTATGTGCACGTGTACACAAACACACATCATTTGCCTTTCTGATCTTGACTGAGCAAGTTCTAAGTTGCATAAAGTTTGCTTATGTGGTATAGCTTTCAAGATTAGGCTCATGTTAAGGGAAGGCTGTCAAAATTAAAATTCAGTTTGCCCAGCTAAAAAAAAGTAGGCTTATGAAAGAAAGAGAAGACAGTACTTGTACCATGTATGCTTCTATATATTTTATATTAGTCACTAATACACACTATCTGTTCTCAGTTCATTAATCCAATTGCTCACCAAAAATGTCTGTATATATTTACATTTGCATGTGGTACAGCTAAAATGCAAAAGATAATCTTAGTTCAGAAAAAGATGGGTCCAACATTTTAAACTCACACACTGCTTTTTCTGAAATGCAAAACTTAGAAGCTACCATAGAATCCAAAACCCGTAAGAATCCGTACCATAAAGGGATAAATGCTGGAATCGTCATAGGCATGAAAGCACTGAGCACATCACCAAGAAAAGTCCATTGAAGATTTCACATCCAAAAATGTGGTTTCAGGATTCGGAGTTATGTTTTGTAATAAACATTACAAAAACCTGGAGAGATGTCTAGAATTCACTAGGACGATGAAAAAAATCATCTGCTATAGAAAAGCTTACATGTATCTGTTTTGGCCAACATGGTGTCAGTTTGACACTTTCCCTGACTCTGTAGGATAACACCTTTGTTTCTCCTTTTTGCAGTGAACATCTTTTCCGACAGCTGTGTGCCATACACTGGCTTTTGGAAGCTCTGACTCTTGAATCCAATGGTTCGAAGCATTCCATATTCGCCTGTTGGAATCCAATGTATGTGCGCAATACATGATAGTAGATGGAATGAGGAATTTGGGATCTTTCCTCCTTTATATGTTGTTGTTTCTCTTCTTTCAAGTAATAACTATTTGAGTGGAATGTTATTAATTCTGTGCCATGCAACATAAACAAATTTTACCTTGACTTTGCCCCCATGCAGTCAGCAGGGAGTTGTACAGTCAAATCAGTAGTGCAGCATGGTCCTCTATTATTGCAAGTTGCAGAACTAGAAAATACTGAGCTCTGTCAGCCAAGTTTAATTGTTTTCTGTCCTTTTTCTCTTTCGGTTAATAATTATGCAAATTAAATACGTGTAGTAATAGATGTATGTGTATTCCCATAGCCTTCCCTTGGAGGGTTATCCCGGTGAACTCGACAGGAATTCCATATACATTATAATTACAGAACAAAGCCAGCTATTAAGTGATATTTAGTAGTCGGTTTTATTCTATCAATTATGCATGAAAGTGATGGGTACTTGTGAAAGATGCATTACCTCTGAACTGTTAAAAGTAAATATTAATTTAAGTTCCCAACATTTTTGGTCAATATAATCATGTTGACATAACATGTATTTACATTATTCATGAGTGTTTGGTAAAACAGTGAATAGTTTATGCTCCGATTTGCAGGGCAGAGCTCTTCAAAACTGTTTTGTTTTCTCTATATTCTCAGTCAAGACAGACTGTGCCTATGTATAACAGAGGTGTCAGAGTAGCATTATATAGAATCAGCCTGATAATGGGAGGCGAGAGCCAGTCTCGTATGTGTTGTGGATGAGTTTTTCACCCCTTTACATGTGAGGACCAACCAATAGACTCGGACAAAAGAAACAGTTTGCCAGCAAGTCTCACAGATAAAGGCTGACAGCAGAGTATAAATGTGTAAGACTCAGGATTCATTTCCAGGTTCTGAAGTAGCGCAGTCTCTTGTATGCTTCCTCTCTGTTGCTGTCTCTAACCGCCTCTCCTCACCCTCAGTGTCATTTGAACTGATCTGCATACGCACATTCTTCATTACACAGTAACCATCAGAAATTAAGGTTACATTTAGATCATACAGTCTCCATCTGCCCAAAAGAGTTTTTTAAATGTGGTGAAGGAAGCAAGCTTAGAACACTAACCTGTTTTGTAAAACCTTTGACTGATTAGATGGGGACAGAATGATAAATGAGACTACCTCAGCAGTGACCTGCTGTTGTACCACAGCTGCGAGGACTGCAGCTTCCACCTTTACCTTTGTCAACATGATGTAACATTTAAACCTTTGGACTTCAGGTCTTCATTTAGCCAATAGCATGGAAAACTCAAACTTGTATGAACTTGCTGTCGTTTCTATCCATGAAATCTTGCTATACCGAACAAAACTCTTCAGTACTTGTGCAGAGGAAGCTGAGAACATAATCTGGCCCAGTACATGCATGATAGTTTGTAGAATGACTGTGCTTTCTTTAGGTTCTTCTTCACTTGTGACTATAACTTAGTCATGGTTTATATACCTTGCATTGTCTTTCCGTTTCTTGTAAGCATAGATATTCATCGCGGTAGCAGTCAGCCACCATTTACTGCGTTTCTTAAAAGAACTTACAACAAAATCAACACTCTCAAAATGGAAAACTAATAAAATTGTTTTCACTTAGGGACCCTGGTGGTTGTAAAAAAACAGTAAAAGAAATCAAAGAGGAAAAGTTAGCAAGGTACATGTGGAAGCTCTTTACTACAAACACAAAGGTAAGGTCATTGTTAATTTCTTCCTCGGGACCTAATGCAACTTTTCAAGCATTTGTTTTGTTGCTTATCTGAACTCCATGATACCACATTTTATGCTCTGGATCTCGTGACTCCAGAGTACTTGTCTCTAGTTTGTGAAGAATAACAGTTTGATACTAGGTAATAGGAAGAGCAGTATGTAGCTGATTGAAGCTGTGGCTTGGTCTTGGACTTAGTGGTAAGTACTGATGTGGGAAGAACAAAATATTTAGGTAAAAGATAACTAGCTTCTTGCTTGCACTTGCCCCCTTTTTTTATGACCCAGAGTCATGTACTGGTACTTGTTCACACAAACAGGTCTTTTTCAGTCAAATGGGAATTTCAGACTGGTATCCTGGAGGCCTTATTTGAGCAAGTTGTAGTTATGATTTGTTTGGTTGGCTTTTTACACAGAATTTAAAGCTAAAGTTGAATGCAAATGCCAAATGTTAAGACCTTTAAAGAAAGCAGGATTCACTTGCCACATTCAAAGCAAAGGAGAAAACAAGTAATTCAGATGAAAGCATTTAAAGAGTAAAGTTAAGTTAGTACTTGAGAGGAAATTAAACACCAGAAAATCATCTGTAATGCTCGGTAACTCTTTTACTATCTTTCTGAAACCACTGAAGGGCTTTCTTTTTGAAACTGTTGAAGTGACTGGAGGAAAATGATGGGAGAATGAGTGATACTTAGGAGTATATCTAGGTGAACTCAGTAAAGAACCAGTGGGTTTCTCACCCTGTAGCACATTTTACATTTTGATCTCCAGCAGTTTGCTGAAGCTTTTAGTTCCTTGCTTTGCCCCCCTGTAAGGCTAAATTAAACAAGTTTTGTGAAGTGCTTTTAGAACCCCAGGTGAGACACTCTTAGAAATATGAGCTGTTCTTACACGCAGGCTATTTGCTCTTATTACTTGTCAACACCTGCAGCTCGTACCCTCATGACATAATAATTAAAATCATTCAATAGAAGGCTACGATTTCTGTTGGGGCGTAAGCAGCAAAAGTTGTGAAACTTTTGAAGGACAAAGATTGTGTTTTTATGCAAATATCCTTCCTGGTATTAGCAAACAGAGGGGGAAAGTCAGCAAGTCACATAAACAACAGAGTTGTTTCTAAATAGGAGGCTTTCTGATTTTTCCATACAGTTCTACCAGTTCTCTAAAGTCAGGTTCAAATGAACATGGGCACAAGAAACCAAAGTCCATGTCAGTCTTGATGTATCTTTTAGCATTTACGTTGCTGAGAATTTTTCTCCCTCCCTGAATTAATGACTGTTTCCTTTCTCTCACTTGCACTAATATTAACTGAACACTGCTTTTCATAGTTGATATGAAACTTCTAGTGGAATTATTAGGTTCCTTCAGGGGCATTTGTTTTATAATACTTATTGTTCTAGTTATCAAGCCTGCAGAATTCAGTCTGCTTTCAGATTTCAGTTTTACATTCCTGTCACAGGAAATTCATTTGCCAGGTTACTGGGTGTTGGGAGGAGACCTGAATGTTTATCAAAACTACTTTGACCTATTCTTCCCTATACACAAGAAGATTTATCTATTACCACCCGTCTCTGCAGTTGCAGTGTTACTCATTTCCAAATTAGCTTAATCTGTTGGCATTAATGCTATAGCAGAGGAGTATTGAAGAAATAAAACAAAATGAAGGAGGTCCTCCCAAGAAATCATTAGCTTGTTTGAAGTCACTGGAGAAACAAATCTATGAGGTTACAGGAGGACCCAGGAGGTTCTAATATTGGAATTAGTTACAGAAGTATGATTCTTTGTTGTCAAATCACTATAGAAAAACCCTCATTTCTATTAATTTTTTCTATTATGTATAGAAATACACCAGGAAAGCACGATACAGTCCACTTAAGAAGATAAACAAGACCTCTATCTCTCAGCTTAGCAATCTGTCATCTCCCTGTGGTCAAACCCCTCATGGCAGCGAAACTTCCACTGTGCTTTGCTCTGAAGACAACGTCAAGATTAATGTAGCTTCATCTGATGTTACAAGTGAGTTGGCACAAGCTAAAGAACAACCTCTTTTCCCCTGTAAGTTACTCTTGTTGACTGCCAGTATCAAATGGATTTGTTTTCGGTGTTACTAGGGAGAACCTACATCAAAGGCACTGCTGTGTGTACCAATGTATTTCTCTTTAGGCATATGGAACTTTGTACAAGTCTCTCTGTGCCCTCCCTGTTAGCAAATTGGTTTAAAGACAATATAATCCCATGTAAATATTAAATAAGAGTTTTAATTAATATTCATTTACAGCAGTTGTATAATCAGACTGTCATCCACATCTATAAGGTCCAGCAGGCAATGAAAACAGTGAAAATCTTTTCTGCCATAGACAAATGATCCACTGAAGATGTATCTGTGGAACTTAAGGAGTTCTGTTTAACATGGGGGTTTCTTGCTCTGCATTCCTCCTACTCGTCCATCAGTGATTACCTGCACTTGACAGACCTGACAGAATGGTTTATCTGTTAGCTCTGCAGTGTGTTCCAGTACAAAGCTAGGTAATCTTAAGTCTTTTCCCTTCCTTCTAAGAAAAGCTGGAATAGAACAGAAAAGCATGCTAGCATCTAGTACTGCTAATTACCTTTCAGTTGATATTTACATTATCATTATTAGGCTGACGACATGCTCTGCTAAATTACCAGTCAGGAAGGAGCTCTTGGAGTCATTTGGGACAGTTCTGTCAATGTTCATTAGCTATCAAAAAGGCAAGAATTCTAAGAATGAAGTGGAAGTAAAAGCAGAAAACATGTTATGCAAAAATACAAATGTTTTGTATGTGTTTCTTCAGTTCCAATCCTTCCAATTCAGACAGGCTGGTATCAGAAGTGGTAAAGTTTGATGGAAAAAAAAAAAAGTGGTGAGGTATGTTAGAGATACAGAATAGCCTCCATGTGAGAACCAATTAAATAGACTAGGGCTCTTCAGTGCAGAAAAGAAACGGCTGAATACAAGGTTATGACAGATCTCTGTAACATCATGAAGTGCATGGAAAAAAGTGATTAGAGAGTGGTTATTCACAAGTTCCCTTGACACCAGATTTATGGCACGCCAAACTAAATTGTCTGGCAGAAAATTTAAAGCAATGGGAAATGTGTTTGTGTAATGCATGATTAAACTTAGGAATTCGTTGCTACAATTTATTGCTAAAAGTATATTCAAGTCCAAAAGGAATTTAAATGAATAGAAGAAAAAACAATTAATTGCTCTTAAATGTAAAGGAATGGATACAATCTCTGGGTCTGAAAGACCTTTAGGTTCAGACTCTCAGACACTGGGTGGATATATCGGGAAGCTTGCGCTAATATCATACACTACCTACACAGCTGCTGTTGTCTGTGGCACTGAGCACAGATGAATGGCCTTCCTATGATATGAATAGGAGTAGTGGAGAATTCAAAGCTATAATTTCAAGCAATTTATTTACAGATATAGGTGAACAATTGGTTTGTGTGTGAGATGAGATTTGAAAATAATCTTGAGCTGTAACAGCTGGGAGCCTCTGTATGCTGCAGGACATAAAGAAATATCTTGCATGCGTGATGTAAGGGGAGGATGTTGAGTGTACCCTTTGGAACAACATCTATCATGATTGCCTGTGCTTTCAGGGAACTGAGTTACCAGTCTGGTCCTCTCAAGGATTGTGTTCCTAGCTCTAAAAAATATGGGAAGTTAGTTTCTGCAGGGCAGCTCTGTAGCAAAGGTTGGATTCTATAAGGAATTCTGAAGCTGCCAGAATCATGTTTAATCCTGGATTCTCATTATAGGATGCTTCATGGACAAATCAGAAATGGATTACAAGTACAGTTGCCCTGTAGTCTTACACAAAGCTTCCTGAATTTGGGGTATAACTCATACAGACGTAATTTTCAGAGCACACACAACCTTAACTCACACGTACACATACATATATTTAAAAAATGGGAAAGAGGTTCTGTAGTAGGCAGCTAATCAGTAGATACAACTGAGTGTGACTCTTACAGAAAGATTTTAAGGAAAGAATTCATAACATTTAGATGCTGTTGTTTGGGGACGGATGCTATAGAATGTCTGCTTGTACAAATTTGATTTTTCAGTGCTGTTGGCTGAGTGAGGACCTGTACTAGTCCAGAAGTTTAAATGTTACCTCACGTTGACAAAGGTCAAAGTGGAAGCTGCAGTTTTTGCAGCTGTGGTTTAACAACAGGTCACTGCTGAGGTAGTCTTAGTTATCATTCAGTCAATGGTTTTACAAAGCAGATTAGTGTTCTAAGCTTCTTTCCTTCACCACATTTGAAAAAAATTCTCTTTTTGTGCAGACAGAGACTATATGTTCTAAATGTACTGAATGTAAGCCTAATTCTTGATGGTTACTGTGTAATGAAAAAGTGTGTATGCAGATCAGTTCAAATGAGATTCATTTTCTTCACACCAAGAAGTAAAATGTGAGACCTATATCTGACAGATTAAATGCTAACTGGATTTTATCCCCAAAGCTTTCCGGCCAGCAGTTTGGCTTTGAATTCTCAGTCAAAAAAATAGCTTTAAAAGAGGAGGTATAAATATTTGTGGAAAGAATCTTCATTATAAAACTTATACGTGAATTTGGGCCTTTTCTTTGGGATTGATCAGTGTCTTTTGATTTATCATTGTTAGAGCCTTGCAAAACAGGTAAATATTAGTACCCCATTTCACAGATGATTAACAAAGGCATAGAAATCAAGGTCAGGTGAAATTACTACATTCCTCTCTGCTGTTTTTCTCTTTTCTAATGAATGTCTGACTAGCTCACAGCTATGGAGGTTAATATTTCAACAATATTATGACTATGGACAAGTTTTTGAGTATTTGTTTTCCTGATTTCTCCAGATGGAGACTAGGAACATGTTATAATGCTACAAAATGGAGGGCAGAGGAGCTGTAAGGAGGAGCTGTACCTTTATGGTATTAGCCCTGGTGTGCTTCCTGTCATCTCCCTCCAAAATCTGCCAACAGGACTGCTTTCAGGAGATGGGTTTCAGATATCCAAGCTACTCAATCTTCTCAAATGTTAACCATGAATAGAAAGGACTGGGTTCTACTCAATCAGCCGAAATGGTAACGATGAATAGAAAGGACTGGGTTATTCTAAGAAGGGGTCTGACTCTGCATGCCAAAACCAGATGAGATCTGCATGCAGCCTTAGCTCAGTTTTAGCAGAGGCTCTCTGCCCGTATTGATGTCCGGTTTAAGGCTCTGTGGGGGTCAGCCGTTATACTCAAACTGCTCCTCAGCTCTAGAAGGTTCGGTGGCGTAGCCAGCATCTTACAGGCTTATGCTTTGAGGCTAGTAAGGGTCACAGTGGAGCCATCATTAGAAGCAGTCAGTGCTAGAACTTAGGAGTTTCTACTGGGACCTTGGCACTCTGAAACTCACCTCGCCACAGCTAATAGAGGATCTTCATTGTAAGCATGGGTCTTAAAATTTTAGCCCATTAGCTGGTGCCCAGCAACTTGTTCCATCCATGTCTTAAATTTACAAATTCACAGTGTAATATTTAGATCTATACTTCTAACAAGTAGAAATAGTTTGTGCTGCTGTTTAACACAGCCAACATTCAGCAGTCATTTTCTATTATACTATATGTGGTGCTTCACAAAAACGTAGCAAAAGGACTTTTTGGGGATTACAACTTCAAGGTGTTCAGTGCTCAGTAAAATGTCGCTTATTACCATGTAGGACATGTTGAACACCTCAGAGGATGACTTGGAATTTGAGAGCTAACACTGGGATTTTTAATAACAAGTGTGACAGTTTTTTTACTGGATGAGCAATTGGAGGGAATAACGCAGAGAAGATGGCCGTCTC